TAGGGCCCTGGTCCCGGGTGAGCAGTATATCCTGCGCAGCCGAGTCATTGAAGTAGAATTCTTCAATCAAGCTTAGTGATCGCTGTTCTTATGTCCAGAAGCTCTTTTCAGTAATAGGAAGTTACGACCAGCAAAAAAAATATTTAAAAAATTGCATAATTGGTCAGGAGCACATAAAACGGGCGCTATACATCCCAGCGCCATTACCTGAACTTGGCACTCCAGCTCTGACTGGCCCTGGTAGGTAGGTAGGCAGGTATGTAGGTAGGTAGAACTGGAGCCTGATTAGATAGTTCAGAGTTTCTGCTCTTTTCTATCCGTTTCATCTCATTGACTGAGAGGAGGAGGCAAGGCAGGCAGGGGGAAAGGAGGGAGATTGTGGTTGACTCAAGGCCTTGGGGGGGGGGGGGGGGGGGGTCAAAACACAATCGGCTAACTTATTTCCCAACAAGATTTTAATTGAAACAAACGTTAACAAACTAAAAGGTAACAACGATAAGAAGTGAGGTCTTTTAAAACAATCTTAGATTAGATTTTTTTTAAAGGATAATATGTATTTTTAATTTTATATATATTTTTGACAAAGGAAAGAAGTGCAAGATGAGGCTCTTTATATCATGACAATGTGGAACAAACCAACATATCCATTCACTTCAATATTCACCAATTTACATGTTACTTCATTATCCTTTTCATATGTTAATCATTAACAGTAATACAACGTTGCACAATAATATCAAACGTCATGACTATCAATTACTTATAGAAATACACATGATCACCTGATCAACAGTGGCGGGAACCCTTTCATAAAAAGGGGCTGAATGCGCCGTCACTTCCTTTAAAAAACCCAGGATGAGACGAAGCGAATGGAATGCACATCATGCAGTACACGGCTCAGCTTCTGAAATACAAATGCAGTTAGCGAACAGACATTCACATACAGAGAGAGCACAACATAACGACTCTTAACAATATTAGGTGATCAGTCTAACAATGGACCAGAGATCGCTAAAATGTGGTGTTTGTTTGTTCTGTTACAGCTTGCTGTGTGCCCATTGTGTCTTCCCCCGGCTCCCAACACCTCGCGCATATGGCGCTCTGCTGCACCTGTGCTCAATAAACAATAAAATAGTAACTTGTAATACGTGAACATTTCTAATAGATGGTGACGGGAATGAGAACCGTCACAGGGTGTGAAAACTTTCTGAAGGCACTGTAGTTACCCAGAGACCCGTGGGCTTCAGGACAGTGACACAAACACAAAGTGACACCCTGAACATCCTCAGGAAGGATCTCACTCTAGAAATGCCCTTTGTAGAGACTCCCACTCTCTCAGTGGCAGCTCACAAGGACAAAGCTGTAACTGTGACTGTCACTTCTCCCACATGAGGAGTAAGCCAATCTCAAATCTCTTCCTCTCAGACTCTGTCGTTAAACCATATAGCATCAGGTGCAGTAAATAATAGATTTAAGAGGATTTAAATAAGAAAAGTTTAATTGTAATGACTCAGGATATATGAATGTAGTCTCTAATTGCATTACACAAATGACTGAGGATGATAGTATCGACCATTCAGTGTTTTGTTTTGCACAGGGTTGGGATTCAAAGTGAATGATAATAATGGGGGAGAGTACAGTAGATGCTGCTCTACACTAGCTTGACCTCATGGTGAGGGTAAATGTTTGTCATGCCATGTTTTGATTTATTGAAATGATATGGTCATAGCTCTTATTGAAGGCAAAGTGATATCCGAGAGCTATGCAAAGTTATATAAACAGGAGGGTCAAGTCACTGTCTAATCAAAATCCCTCACTGCACACAGCGGAGCTATGGGTGGTTGAGTAAGCACTCCATATGCCAGGGCAAACTGATGTTGCCTGATGACTCAAACTGAATTATTCTGCTGCTCTATGATCGCTACATACTTCAGTCTGAGACTGCCATCATTGAAGTCGTTTGTGGTGACGTCAAAATGAGGGGCGTTGTACAAAACAAAGTAATCAGCGATTGGATCGTCTCTAACCAATCAGAGAAATAACAATAATAATATATATACATATTTACAACTGTAACAATGATAAATGTCCACTGGGGGGTGGGGGCAGGGTAAATGTCCATAGGAGGTGCAGCAAAAGGGGGCTGGGGGGAGGGGGAGGAAGTAGGTAGCTGCCTAGTGGTGGCTATTCAGCGGTCTGGGGGTAGAAGCTATTGGCCAGTCTGACAGTTTTTGCCATGATGCTCCTATACTGCACACGTCTGAGTGATGGAAGCGGGGAGAACAGGCCGTGGCTCGGTGGCTGAGGTACTTGATGCTCTTTTTGGCCTTCCTATGACACTGGTATTGTAGGTGTCCTGGAGGGCAGGCGGTGTGCACCCAATGGTGCGTTCGGCTGAGCGTACCACCCTCTGTAGACCCTTGCGGTCATCAGCGGTGGAGTTGCTGTACCAGGTTGTGATACAGCCCGACAGTATGCTCTCGATGGTGCTCCTGTAGAACACTGAGGGCTCTCGGCGACAGGCTAAATTTATTCAGCCTCCTGAGGTTGAAGAGTTGCTGTCGTGCCTTCTACACCACGGTGTCCGTGTGATTTGACCATTTCAGCTTCTCAGAGATGTGTACGCCTACGAACTTGACGTTTTTGACCGTCTCCACGGCTGCCCCGTTGATAAGGATGGGGGCGTGCCCAGCCTGGTTCCTCCTGAAGTCCACAATCAGCTCCTTTGTTTTGCTGACGTTGAGGGAGAGATTGTTTACCTGGCATCACGCAGTCAGATTGCCTCATTGTCTCATTGTTGTTGGTAATCAGGCCTACTACTGTCGTGTCGTCAGCAAACTTTTTGATGGAGTTGGAACTGTGTGAGGCCACGCAGTCGTGGGTATACAGGGAGTACAGGAGGGGACTGAGGACGCACCCTTGTGGGGTCCCCGTGTTGAGGATCAGTGTGGAGGAGGTAATGTTGCCTACCTTTACTACCTGGGGATGGCCCGTCAGGAAGTCCAGGACCCAGTGGCATCGGGAAGAGTTCAGTCCTAGGGACGTGAACTTTGTGGTTAGTTTAGAGAGCACTATGGTATTGATGGCCGAGCTGTAACCAAACAACGTACTCACATATGCATTCATTTTGTCCAGGTGGGTGAGGGCAGTGCAATGGCGATTGCATCGTCCGTGGATCTGTTGGCGCGGTAAGCGAATTGGAGAGGGTCGAGTGTGTCGGGGAGGGAGGAGGTGATGTGGTCTTTGACTAACCTCTTTAAGCACTTCATGATGACGGAAGTGAGTGCTACGGGTCGGTAGTCATTCAGTTCAGTATCTTTCCCTTTCTTGGGCACGGGGATGATAGTGGACATCATGAATTAGGTGAGGATAACGGCCTGAGCTAGAGAGAGATTGAAATGTCAGAAAACACAACAGCCAGCTGGTCTGCACATGCTCTGAGGGTGCGGCTAGGGATGCCATCTGGGCCGGCAGCTTTGCGAGGGTTAACACGCTTGAATGACTTACATATGTCCTCTGTGGAGACCATAAGCACATAGCCCTTGTTGTCCTCAGGTGTTGTCCTCAGGTGCTCTCCTCTGCAGCTCAGAGTCGTTACGCTCGAAGCGTGAGCAAAAGGTGTTTAGCTCGTCCAGTAAGGCAGCGTTGGTGTCCGCGACGTGACTGGCTTTCTTTTTGTAATCCGTGATCGTTAGAAGCCCCTGCCACATATGTCTCGTGTCCGACCCACTGAGTTCCTCTTCCACTTTAACCCTATACTTGTGTCTCGCCATCTTGATCGATCTGCGTAGGTCGTATTCGTTCTGTTTAACCATACAATTGTCCCTGATCACCTTTTCGTGTTTATAAGCAGTATCTCTCTCCTTCAGTTTCCCGACAAGGCTGCCATCAATCCATGGTTTTTGATTCGGTAAGTTTTGAAAGACACCATCGGTATCACATCATCTATGCATATTTTGATGAATCCGGTGGCTCAGTCGGCGTATTCATTCATTTTATCCCCAGAGGCGCCCCGGAACATATTCCAGTCCACGTGATCAAAACAGTCTTGGAGCATGGATTCTGATTTGTCAGACCAGCGTTGTACAGACCTGATCACCGGAACTTCCCTCTTGAGTCTTTGTTTGTAGGCGGGGAGGAGCAAAATGGAGTCGTGGTCAGATTTGCCGAAAGGAAGACGGGAGGGGCCTTATACCCTTGGCGAAAAGGCGTGTATCAGTGGTCAAGAGTGGAATATCCGCGAGTTGGACAGTCTGTGTTGATAGTAAGTCGGGAGCATGGACGTTAAATTACTTTTGTTAAAGTCCCCCGCAACAATAAACGCTGCCTCCGGGTATGCGGTCTCCAGTTTGTTCGGCTTGGGGCGGGATGTACACAGCTGTGGCGATAATCCCTGAGGACACTCTTCGAAAGTAAAAAGGGTGACATTTAATGACCAAGTATTCCAAGTCTGGGGAGCAGAAGCTCGCAAGCTCCTGTAAGTTTCCTCCATCGCACCACTTGTTATTGGTCATGAAGTAGACACCACCGCCTTTGTTCTGGCCAGAGAGAGCACGCTTTCTATCTAAACTGGTTGAATCAACGTTGTTTCGATGTCATTTCAACCCTGAATAATCTGACGTTGAATCAACGTGGAAAACTGATTGTATTTGCAAAAAGTCATAATTTCATCGTTTTTTCAACCAACTTTTTAACTAAATCCAATGATATGGTGAATTGTTTTTAATGATTTCATGTTGAATTCACATTAGTTGACAACTGAACCAAACGTCAATCAAAACTAGACGTTGAACTGACCCAGTGGGAAGTGCCATCGCCTATTTGTCAGGGTAGAAGAGTCTGTTAGCATTTTAAAGAAATGGCAATCAGAGCATCAAACACCGGGGACGAATGAGAAGAGGATGAGGGAGCCGACCTAAGAACCCCAGGGCAGTGAAAAAGAGGTTCCCCAACCCTCCCAGCCCAGCTCAGGCAGCGAACACCAAATAAATGCCATCACAATGGAGTACCACAGCGGTAAGGTAAGCAATAACATGAACTTTGTACCCTTCAGATTATGTTAGTTATGTGGCATCATTGAGGAAGAATGTCAGATGCTATGTCATCCAAGGCAGAGCTTCATGCTATGGATGTCCTCACCTAAGCATCTGAAGTGTTGGTGTTGATGGCACTCATCTGTAAGTGTTGATATTTGCTCTCAAACAAGGCTGAGCACTTTAATTTCGGACAGAATTCATAAACATATTTATGTGATAATTTCGAAAAAATAATGGGTGGTTTTTGGAATACCTCAAGGCTGGGTTGCAGAGTGTCCTAAGAATTATTGAAAGCTGAAAATGTCCCAGTTCTTTCATGGCCTTCATACTCACAAGACATGTCACCCATTGAGCATGTTTGGGATGCTCTTGATCGACGTGTACAACAGCGTGTTCCAGTTCCCGCCAATATCCAAACCTCTTCCATTTAAGAATGATGGAGGCCACTGTGGACCTTCAATGCTGCAGAAATGTTTTGGTACCCTTCCCCACACAATCCTGTCTCGGAGCTCTACGGACAATTCCTTCGACCTCATGGCTTGGTTTTTGCTCTGACATGCACTATCAACTGTGGGACCTTATATAGACAGGTGTGTGCCTTTCCAAATCATGTCCAATCAAGTTGTAGAAACATCTCAAGGATCATCAATGGAAACATGATGCACCTGAGCTCAATTTCGAGTTTCATAGCAAAGGGTCTGAATACTTTTATTTTTAATACATTTGCAAAAATGTCTAAACTTGTTTTCACTTTGTCATTATGGAGTATTGTGTGTAGATTGATGAGGATTTTTATTTATTTAATCCATTTTAGAATAAGGCTGTAACGTAACAAAATGTAGAAAAGGTCAAGGGGTCTGAATACTTTCCGAATACCACATCTGGAGTCAATCTGACTTATGGTTCATGAGAACGTTTAAAAGTATTTTTTGCATTAGCATATGTGCTAACGTGCATCTATAGGTCCAGTGCGACCATATTTGAATGCAGCATCGATTCAAGACATTAAAAACTGACGTAATGAGTCTAAATACAAAATCTGGAGTGAATCTGACGTATGATTCATGAGGAGAAGATGATTGCAGATGATTGTGAGCATTAGTGTTACATATGCAAATAATTAGTTAATATTTTCCTTGGTTTTTTAAATATCAATACCAAATTCAGTGTGGTTCATCTTAGGGACGTCCATGATAGCGATGACAAAGTTGACAGGCCACTGTGGAGTGGATTTACAGTAGCTTAAATGGACATGTAAAATCTGATTTTTTTTGTTTGTTACTCAGCCATCTTTTGACCAATCCCTTAGCTTTTCTCAAACTAAGTTAACATTTTACTGCAGTGGGCTAAATCGGGGTCACAGAGTGTTTCTTGGTAGTCTTAAACAAAACTACTTTGAAACAAAAGCGCCGGAGGAGATGGCTGCTGTTTTACAGGCTACTAACCAATTGTGCTATTGTGTGTGTTTTTTTTGCATTATTTGTAACTTATTTTGTACATAATGTTTTGCTACCGTCTCTTATGACTTAAAAGAGCTTCTGGATATCAGAACAGAGATTACTCACCTCGTTCTGAAGATCTTTTATTTTAACGAGTCGGACGCAAAGGATTTACTTCAGACACCGGACAAGGCCCAAATCCCCGTCATTCGAATGAAGAAGAGACGGAGATATAGGGATCGAAGGTCGGGGTGCCTTGTAAGAATCAGACGGCGAGTGGGTAATCCGCCTCTACCATCTGTCCTATTAGCCAACGCGCAATCATTGGATGATAAACTTGATGAGCTCTGATCAAGACTATCCTACCAACGGGCCATTAAAAACGGTAATATCTTATGTTTCACCGAGTCGTGGCTGAACGACGACATGGATAACATACAGCTGGCGGGGTTTTCCGTGCATCGGTAAGATAGAACAGCTGCCTCCGGTAAACAAGGGGTGGTGGTCTGTGTCTATTTGTCAATAACAGCTGGTGCATGAAATCTAATATTAATGAAGTCTCAAGGTTTTGCTCGCCTGAGGTAGAGTATCTCATGATAAGCTGTAGACCACACTATTTACCAAGAGAGTTTTCATCTACAGTGGGGAGAACAAGTATTTGATACACTGCCGATTTTGCAGGTTTTCCTACTACAAAGCATGTAGAGGTCTGTAATTTTTATCATAGGTACACTTCAACTGTGAGAGACGGAATCTAAAACCAAAATCCAGAAAATCACATTGTATGATTTTTAAGTAATTAATTTGCATTTTATTGCATGACATAAGTATTTGATACATCAGAAAAGTAGAACTTAATATTTGGTACAGAAAGCTTTGTTTGCAATTACAGAGATAAAACGTTTCCTGTAGGTCTTGACCAGGTTTGCACACACTGCAGCAGGGATTTTGGCCCACTCCTCCATACAGACCTTCTCCAGATCCTTCAGGTTTCGGGGCTGTCGCGGGGCAATACGGACTTTCAGCTCCCTCCTAAGATTTTCTATTGGGTTCAGGTCTGGAGACTGGCTAGGCCACTCCAGGATCTTGAGATGCTTCTTACGGAGCCACTCCTTAGTTGCCCTGGCTGTGTGTTTCGGGTCGTTGTCATGCTGGAAGACCCAGCCACGACCCATCTTCAATGCTCTTACTGAGGGAAGGAGGTTGTTGGTCAAGATCTCGCGATACATGGCCCCATCCATCCTCCCCTCAATACGGTGCAGTCGTCCTGTCCCCTTTGCAGAAAAGCATCCCCAAAGAATGATGTTTCCACCTCCATGCTTCACGGTTGGGATGGTGTTCTTGGGGTTATACTCATCCTTCTTCTTCCTCCAAACACGGCGAGTGGAGTTTAGACCAAAAAGCTCTATTTTTGTCTCATCAGACCACATGGCCTTCTCCCATTCCTCCTCTGGATCATCCAGATGGTCATTGGCAAACTTCAAACGGGCCTGGACATGCACTGGCTTGAGCAGGGGGACCTTGCGTGCGCTGCAGGATTTTAATCCATGACGGCGTAGTGTGTTACTAATGGTTTTCTTTGAGACTGTGGTCCCAGCTCTCTTCAGGTCATTGACCAGGTCCTGCCGTGTAGGTCTGGGCTGATCCCTCACCTTCCTCATGATCATTGATGCCCCACGAGGTGAGATCTTGCATGGAGCCCCAGACCGAGGGTGATTGACCGTCATCTTGAACTTCTTCCATTTTCTAATAATTGCGCCAACAGTTGTTGCCTTCTCACCAAGCTGCTTGCCTATTGTCCTGTAGCCCATCCCAGCCTTGTGCAGGTCTACAATTTTATCCCTGATGTCCTTACACAGCTCTCTGGTCTTGGCCATTGTGGAGAGGTTGGAGTCTGTTTGATTGAGTGTGTGGACAGGTGTCTTTTATACAGGTAACGAGTTCAAACAGGTGCAGTTAATACAGGTAATGAGTGGAGAACAGGAGGGCTTCTTAAAGAAAAACTAACAGGTCTGTGAGAGCCGGAATTCTTACTGGTTGGTAGGTGATCAAATACTTACAGTGGGGAAAAAAAGTATTTAGTCAGCCACCAATTGTGCAAGTTCTCCCACTTAAAAAGATGAGAGAGGCCTGTAATTTTCATCATAGGTACACGTCAACTATGACAGATAAAATGAGGAGAAAAAATCCAGAAAATCACATTGTAGGATTTTTTATGAATGTATTGCAAATTATGGTGGAAAATAAGTATTTGGTCAATAACAAAACTTTCTCAATACTTTGTTATATACCCTTTGTTGGCAATGACACAGGTCAAACGTTTTCTGTAAGTCTTCACAAGGTTTTCACACACTGTTGCTGGTATTTTGGGCCCATTCCTCCATGCAGATCTCCTCTAGAGCAGTGATGTTTTGGGGCTGTCGCTGGGCAACACGGACTTTCAACTCCTCCAAAGATTTTCTATGGGGTTGAGATCTGGAGACTGGCTAGGCGACTCCAGGACCTTGAAATGCTTCTTACGAAGCCACTCCTTCGTTGCCCGGGCGGTGTGTTTGGGATCATTGTCATGCTGAAAGACCCAGCCACGTTTCATCTTCAATTCCCTTGCTGATGGAAGGAGGTTTCACTCAAAATCTCACGATACATGGCCCCATTCATTCTTTCCTTTACACGGATCAGTCGTCCTGGTCCCTTTGCAGAAAAACAGCCCCAAAGCATGATGTTTCCACCCCCAAGCTTCACAGTAGGTATGGTGTTCTTGGATGCAACTCAGCATTCTTTGTCCTCCAAACACGACGAGTTGAGTTTTTACCAAAAAGTTATATTTTGGTTTCATCTGACATTCTCCCAATCCTCTTCTGGATCATCCAAATGCACTCTAGCAAACTTCAGACGGGCCTGGACATGTACTGGCTTAAGCAGGGGGACACGTCTGGCACTGCAGGATTTGAGTCCCTGGCGGCGTAGTGTGCTACTGATGGTAGGCTTTGTTACTTTGGTCCCAGCTCTCTGCAGGTCATTCACTAGGTCCCCCCGTGTGGTTCTGGGATTTTTGCTCACTGTTCTTGTGATCATTTGACCCCACGGGGTGAGATCTTGCGTGGAGCCCCAGATCGAGGGAGATTATCAGTGGTCTTGTATGTCTTCCATTTCCTAATAATTTCTCCCACAGTTGATTTCTTCAAACCAAGCTGCTTACCTATTGCAGATTCAGTCTTCCCAGCCTGGTGCAGGTCTACAATTTTGTTTCTGGTGTCCTTTGACAGCTCTTTGGTCTTGGCCATAGTGGAGTTTGGAGTGTGACTGTTTGAGGTTGTGGACAGGTGTCTTTTATACTGATAACAAGTTCAAACAGGTGCCATTAATACAGGTAACGAGTGGAGGACAGAGGAGCCTCTTAAAGAAGAAGTTACAGGTCTGTGAGAGCCAGAAATCTTGCTTGTTTGTAGGTGACCAAATACTTATTTTCCACCATAATTTGCAAATCAATTCATAAAAATCCTACAATGTGATTTTCTGGATTTTTTTTCCTCAATTTGTCTGTCATAGTTGACGTGTACCTATGATGAAAATTACATGCCTCTCTCATCTTTTTAAGTGGGAGAACTTGCACAATTGGTGGCTGACTAAATACTTTTTTTCCCCACTGTATGTCATGCAATAAAATGCAAATGTATTACTTACAAATCATACAATGTGATTTTCTGGATTTTTTTTTTTTAGATTCCGTCTCTCACAGTTGAAGTGTACCTATGATAACAATTACAGACCTCTACATGCTTTGTAAGTAGGAAAACCTGCAAAATCGGCAGTGTATCAAATACTTGTTCTCCCCACTGTATATTTTCGTGGCTGTCTATTTACCACCACAAACAGATACTGGCACTAAGACCGCACTCAGCAAGCTGTGTAAGGCCATAATAAAATCAAATGTTATTTGTCACATGCGCCGAATAAAATAGTGAAATGCTTACTTACAAGCCCTTAACCAACAATGCAGTTTTAAGAAAAACAAGTGTTAAGTAAAAAATTAAAATAACAAATAATTAAAGAGCAGCAGTAAAATAACAGTCGCAAGGCTATATACAGGGGGTACCGGTACAGAGTCAATGTGCAGGGGCACAGGTTAGTCGCAAACAAGAAAATGCTCACCCAGAGGCGGCGCTCCTAGTGGCTGGGGACTTGAAATCCGTTTTACCTCATTTCTACCAGCATGTTACATGTGCAACCAGATGGGAAAAAACACAGAGACGCGTACAAAGCTCTCCCTCGCACTCCATTTTGCAAATCTGACAGTAACTCTATCCTCCTGATTCCTGCTTACAAGCAACAACTAAAGCAGGAAGTACCAGTGACTCGCTCAATATGGAAGTGGTCAGATGACGCAGATGCTAAGCTACAGGACTGTTTTGCTAGCCCCACTGTAAGTAATCCCGCTATGCCCTCCGACGAACCATCAAACAGGCAAAGCGTCAATACAGGACTAAGATTGAATCGTACTACACCGGCTCCGACACACGTCAGAAGTGGCAGGGCTTGCAAAATATTACGGACTACAAAGGGAAGCACAGCCGCGAGCTGCCCAGCGACACAAGCCTACCAGACGAGCTAAATTACTTCTATGTGCACTTCAAGGCAAGCAACACTGAAGCATGCATGAGAGCACCAGCTGTTCCGGACGACTGTGTGATCACGCTCTCCGTAGCCGATGTGAGTAAGACCTTTATAAGGTCAACATTCACAAGGCCGCAGGGCCAGACTGATTACCAGGATGTGTACTCCAAGCATGCGCTCACCAACTGGCAAGTGTCTTCACTGACATTTTTAACCTGTCCCTGACCGAGTCTGTAATACCAACATGTTTCAAGCAGACCACCATAGTCCCTGTGCCCAAGAACACCAAGGTAACCTGCCTAAATGACTACCGACCCATAGCAGTCACGTCTGTAACCATGAAGTGCTTTGAAAGGCTGGTCATGGCTCACATCAACACCATTATCCCAGGAGATGATCGTGGACTACAGGAAAAGGAGGTCCGAGCACGGCCCCATTCTCATGGACGGGGCTGTAGTGGAGCAGGTTGAGGGCTTCAAGTTCCTTGGTGTCCACATCACCAACGAACTGTCATGGTCCAAACACACCAAGACAGTCGTGAAGAGGGCATGACAACGCCTATTCCCCCTCAGGAGACTGAAAAGGATTTGGCATGGGTCCTCAGATCCTCAAAAAGTTATACAGCTGCACCATCAAGAGCATCCTGACTGGTTGCATCACTGCCTGGTATGGCAACTGCTCGGCCTTCCGACCGTATGGCCCAGTACATCACTGGGGCCAAGCTTCCTGCCATCCAGGACCTCTATACCAGGCGGTGTCAGAGGAAGGCCCTAAAAATTGCCAAAGACTCCAGCCACCCTAGTCATAGACTGTTCTCTCTGCTACCGCACGGCAAGCGGTACCGAAGGGCCAAGTCTAGGTCCAAAAGGCTTCTTAACAGCTTCTACCCCCAAGCTGTAAGACTCCTGAACAGCTAACCAAATGGCTACCCGGACTATTTGCACACACACACACACACACACACATTATTACGCTGCTGCTACTCTCTGTTTATTATCTATGCATAGTAATTTACCTCTACCTACATGTACATATTACCTCAACTACCTTGACTAACCTGTGCCCCCGCACATTGACTCTGTACCGGTACCCCCTGTATATAGCTTAGTTACTGTTAATTTATTGTTGCTCTTTAATAATTTGTTATTTTTCAATTTTCTTATTTTTTCAATTTTTATTTATTTATTGTTTACTTCAATTTTTTTTTGTAAACACTTTCTTAACACTTATTTTTTCTTAAAATTGCATTGTTGGTTAAGGGCTTGTAAGGAAGCATTAACAATGTTATTTTATTTTTGATTTGATACACCTCACACACAAAGGAAGACCCCTGTACCATGTCAGATATAGAAATGTATTACATCCCAATATTACACTTTATATACATCACAGAAAACTGAAATAACAAAACCATTTGACAAAGAAACACCAGATTTTCGGTGGGCTTTTAGAAGTAATGTTTATTAATTATGAAATTATTAATTATAGGGCTTTTTGAAATAATTATTAATTATGAAAAATATTAATAACATTCCACCCATGTGGCCACTATGTCATTCGACTGCAGGAAAGGGCTACGACATGTACCTTGGGCCTACTTTCCAAATGTACCTGGTCCTCCATCAGCGCGATCAATTGGGATATGACAATGATTATGGGCCTTTGACGACCCATTACTTTGAGTACCAGTGGGGGCAGCTGGTAAATTAAACTCTTCCCAAACCCTGAGGGAAGAATCGCGAAAACGTCTTCCCCTCGAAGGAAGGCCTTCAACGATGAAAACTGTTCTTCTTTCAGAGCATGTATCCCCTCCACTCTTTGAAAAACTGCTTCGATAGCAACACATCTTTTTTCTTCAGTAGCCGCCGCCATTGTTGTTTGCTTAACTTCCACCAAACTTCCACGCATGTTGATAACATCATCATGCAGGCCGGCTCTGGCCCAACCCATCGGTTTCTGGGACCAGTCAGACGGTCTAGAATGTGTTCGCATTATAGAAGGGGTCGGGAAGGGAGTCAGATCCAGACTCATTGCGGAGAAGAAACATTTGGGGGGCATGGCTGGGCGTTTGGCAGGAGCAATGTGGCCAGACAAAAACTGAAGTACACAGTAGGTTAGAATTATTTAGCCTACAGTACTTTGTTTCTCCCTTGCATGTACTCATGCTGGATCTATTTTTGGCTCTAGTCCTTTTGTTGGCACAATTTCTCCTTCCCAACCTCGCTCACTACACATGCACAAGCATGCACACAAGCACATGTGCGCGCACACACACACACACACACACACACACACACACACACAACCTGGCCCCGTCACCCCAGCCACCTCTTGCTTCCCTGCAGTTCCGTTTGATGGAGATTTCAGTAAGACGATGAGCAACATATGTTCTGACAATAAGGGATTTGTTTCCCCCTCCCAGCCCTCTCCTCCTGAGCCAGTTAAAGCTACCCAGTGAAACAGAACTGCTAATCCTCTGGCACAGGTACACAGACAGTGTGAGTGTGTGAGTGTGTGAGTGAGTGAGTGATTGAGTGAGTGATTGAGTGAGTGAGTGAGAGAGAGTGAGTGTTTTCTGGGGTATGTATTACAAATTGCCAAAATATCTAGCAGAATTTGATCAACACGAACTGACATCTCTCCAACTGTGTGGGATTCTGTTTTCATCATGGAGACCAGAGACTAGAATGCAATTGCTGCTGTCAACCAAATGCACCTGGTCTGTGATGATGGCCCTGGCCCTGCCCACAACACAACAGGGAAATGAACATGTGAATGTATCATGGCAGTTCATTAAAATAAGCCTTTTCAATGAGCGTGCAAAATGGCAGCCGAGCCAGGCTACTGGAGCATTCAGAGCATATGTTTCATCTACTTGCCAATTCCTCTGCACTTGCCAGCAGCACAGAGAATCAAACCATATTTTCCCTTGTAGTGAAGTGACTGCAGTCTTTGCGTTGTCATGCTCACAGGGCACAGATGGTGGTAGCGGACGGACAGACAGCATATGAGAGCACCTGTGTGGTATTATGTCACATGAAGTAATGGGTCTTGAACTACTGTACTCTGACAGAGAATGTGTCCCTGTCCTTACAATAAATACAGTGGGGGAAAAAAGTATTTAGTCAGCCACCAATTGTGCAAGTTCTCCCACTTAAAAAGATGAGAGAGGCCTGTAATTTTCATCATAGGTACACGTCAACTATGACAGACAAAATGAGGAAAAAAAATCCAGAAAATCACATTGTAGGATTTTTAATGAATTTATTTGCAAACTATGGTGGAAAATAAGTATTTGGTCAATAACAAAAGTTTCTCAATACTTTGTTATATACCCTTTGTTGGCAATGACACAGGTCAAACATTTTCTGTAAGTCTTCACAAGGTTTTCACACACTGTTGCTGGTATTTTGGCCCATTCCTCCATGCAGATTTCCTCTAGAGCAGTGATGTTTTGGGGCTGTCGCTGGGCAACACGGACTTTCAACTCCCTCCAAAGATTTTCGATGGGGTTGAGATCTGGAGACTGGCTAGGCCACTCCAGGACCTTAAAATGCTTCTTACGAAGCCACTCCTTCGTTGCTCGGGCGGTGTGTTTGGGATCATTGTCATGCTGAAAGACCTAGCCACGTTTCATCTTCAATGCCCTTGCTGATGGAAGGAGGTTTTCACTCAAAATCTCACGATACATGGCCCCATTCATTCTTTCCTTTACACAGATCAGTCGTCCTGGTCCCTTTGCAGAAAAACAGCCCCAAAGCATGATGTTTCCACCCCCATGCTTCACAGTAGGTATGGTGTTCTTTGGATGTAACTCAGCATTCTTTGTCCTCCAAACACGACGAGTTGAGTTTTTACCAAAAAGTTCTATTTTGGTTTCATCTGACCATATGACATTCTCCCAATCCTCTTCTGGATCAACCAAATGCACTCTAGCAAACTTCAGATGGGCCTGGACATGTACTGGCTTAAGCATGGGGACACTGCAGGATTTGAGTCCCTGGCGGCGTAGTGTGTTACTGATGGTAGACTTTGTTACTTTGGTCCCAGCTCTCTGCAGGTCATTCACTAGGTCCCCCTGTGTGGTTCTGGGATTTTTGCTCACCGTTCTTGTGATCATTTTGACCCCACGGGGTGAGATCTTGCGTGGAGCCCCAGATCGAGGGAGATTATCAGTGGTCTTGTATGTCTTCCATTTCCTAATAATTGCTCCCACAGTTGATTTCTTCAAACCAAGCTGCTTACCTATTGCAGATTCAGTCTTCCCAGCCTGGTGCAGGTCTACAATTTTGTTTCTGGTGTCCTTTGACAGCTCTTTGGTCTTGGCCATAGTGGATTTTGGAGTGTGACTGTTTGAGGTTGTGGACAGGTGTCTTTTATACTGATAACAAGTTCAAACAGGTGCTATTAATACAGGTAACGAGTGGAGGACAGAGGAGCCTCTTAAAGAAGAAGTTACAGGTCTGTGAGAGCCAGAAATCTTGCTTGTTTGTAGGTGACTAAATACTTATTTTCCACCAGCATTTGCAAATAAATTCATAAAAAATCCTACAATGTGATTTTCTTGATTTTTTTTCTCAATTTGTCTGTCATAGTTGACGTGTACCTATGATGAAAATTACAGGCCTCTCTCATCTTTTTAAGTGGGAGAACTTGCACAATTGGTGGCTGACTAAATACTTTTTTTCTCCACTGTATATTCTGTTGGTATTTGCGAGGAAGCGTTTGCATTTTTCACACACAAGCAATGGATTTGTCAGCCACATGCTTTGCATAGGCATTGTATCCATCTGTATCAGGTGCTACAAAGTGCTGGGAATTGTTTAATTGACGGGAAGCATATGCAATTTGTTTCAAGAGGAGTGTTACTAGAGGTACTTTTCACTGCAGGAAAAGCTCAGAATCAGATGTATTTGCATTTCAATGAAGTCAAGTCGTAGTGAAGTCTCTTAGCAGCTATTGGAGTTTAAGCCTGAGCAAGCAAGGCCACGCAAGGCCAACTCTTTTATAATCTGTATCATTGCTACTAAAATATGCTTAATTACTTCCTCCTTGCGTGTTTAAGCTCTCTAGATTAGACTGATGTACAATGTCTGATGTTTATGCTTTTTGCTCTCTCTTCCTCAGAGCTCCATCCAGATCACCTTTGACAACAGTCTCCAGCTCCCTGCCTCTGCTATTGTAGATAGTGTGACCTGCACAGACCAATCAGCTAGCACTATGGTGAGTATCAACCAAACATGCATGCCTTGTCTAGAGGTTAACATGATATAGAACCCATGATTTGTTATCTTTATCAAGACAGACTTCTCATAGACCCATTTCTTCTAGAACATTATAGATTCTAACAGTTGTCTTTTCCCTCTCCCTGTCCCCAGGTCTTACGGTGTAAGTGTGCAGTTGACACGGTAACGTTCCCAGTGACTGTCACCCAGCAGTCACCTGCAGCTGTTTCCATGGATACCTACCAGATCACCATAAAGCCGATGCTGGCCCAGGTATGACACATCACCATTATGGTTTTGCATTTGTAAGTTTGCATGTGTGTGCCTCTCAAAAAAGGTTAACCCTGTTGAGCTTTCACTTCATTGAATTGCCCTCAAGTGGAATGGTGTAGCTGTGTTGGATGAAACCTCATAGGCCTACCTATGCATATTTAACACCACTTTCATTATCATCAACTCTCCCAAGCTTCATGAGTATTCCATTGAGTTGAGCTATACTAAGTAAGGATAGTTTCGCTCAAATTACAAAATGACATTGGTTTCCTTACACTGTAAGCAGTCTATGGACAAGGTATGAAAGCAATCTGGTTTGGACATGAAGTGACAAAATGCGAATATAGATACTATTGACTTGCATTGGAGTTGTGCCACAAATGCTAAAAAGTTAGCATTTGAAACAGTGGCCAGGTAAACAAAACCAAAGCATGGATTGCTGTCATACCTTGTCCATAGACTGCTTTCAGGGTAACGAAAGCAATTTTTTATTTTGTAATTTGGGTGAACTATCCCTTTAAACCAGCTTGCGACTGCCCCTTGTAACATGCATGTCCCCCTCTCCCCACTATCAGTTGGTGGTGCGTCTTGAGGAAGTAGAAGAAGAGGGTCTGCTGGTGTCCTGGACTTTCTCCCAGCAGCCGATCTCCCTCACCGTGGCCCCACGCAGGATCCAGAGAGAGGTGAGAAACAGTCATACTAAAGGTCAATTTATATCTGGCCGTCGCTTGTATGTGAATTCAATTCGGAGCATGTCGGGACCATGTCGGGAGTATGTTGGAGGCCGTTGGTTGACATTTTCTCAGATATGGAGAATATGATGGTCTCGTCGGTTCAACCTCCTATGACACTAGCAAATTACGAGCCAATCACCACAGAAGCGATTTAGATTAGGGTACACTGGGCTGTGTCACACTTTTTACTTGGTTAGGTTATGGGAGAAATGTGTCTGGATTAGGGCTTTGATTGGGCCTGAAAATTCAAGCCTGACCGTACCTGAGCCCGATGAGATGAGGCCCGAGCCCAAACTGAGCCCTATATTAAATACTGTATAGTATAGAAAATCATTGTACCATCTAAATCGCTATGAAATATATTTTCCATAACCAAAGATATTGTATTTTCAACGGTTTGAAGGTGGTGTACAAAACGAAACTAAAAGATGCAAAAACAAAACTTAAAAAACGGAAAGCATAGAAATAGCACACATAGAACAGATCTACCGCTTCTTAGACTTGCTTTCAATGAGAATGACAGATCTATAACAGCATTTCTATGTGAATTTTATCCGGTCGCCCAAAAGATTACATATTTCAGCTTTGATTTATTTATTTTAACTTTTTGGATTATGTGCGTATTGTTTAGTATTGCTAGGTATTATTACTGCACTGTTGGAGCTAGAAACACAAGCATTTCGCTGCACCTGCGATGACATCTGCAAATCCATGTATGCGACCAATAAACTTTGATTTGATTGGAACCCTCTATGGAAAGGGTTCTACATGGAACCCAAAAGCAAAAGGGTTCTTCCTGGAACCAAAAAGGGTTCTCCTATGGGGACAGCCAAATAACCCTTTTAGGTTCTAGACAGCACTTCATTTCAGTGTAGGGCCCAGAGTTTTTTCATTCCAGGTCACCATACACCTAATCTATTTACTATGAACTATCTAATAGATTTTTGTCTGTTTGGTGTAGTTCTTGGCGGCAGGCAGTGCTTACTTTAGTGGTGTTTTGTGCTCAGGAGATTGATGCGGAGATAGACCTGGACATGATTCGGGAGCTGGTGAAGGATACTCTGTTCAGCACACAGCCAGCCATGATCCTCAACCTCAGGGCCTGTGTGTCCAGCACTACGGTAAGACCATGACACTAAAACTACACTGCAAGTGTTGTGTTTTCCTTCCATTAGTGTTGTTTTTAGCCCTGCTACATCCGACTAGAAGCAGAAAAACTGAGGCAGAAATCAAAAGCAGCGAGAGCTCGCTTCACTGATTGCTGCTTCTGCATCCGGAGGAGCATGTCTCATTGAAACGCACCCCACTGTAATCAACTGTGGCTAATAGGCATGGGAAAAACCAGCATGCGACACTTGCAATATAATTACCATTGGCAAAACCTTCCTGATAGGATGAACCAAGAGCTATGACTAAATGTTTTATGTTCTAGTGATTTGACTCTCTGGTCTTTAATTCCATTTCTCTCTTCATTACTTCCAGTTCCCCAGGGGAACAGGTCTAACCCCGACAGGTCTGACCCCCCCGTCCCAGAGTTTACCCCCCATACGAAGGCTCCTGCTTCGCCAGCTCAGAGGAACCTGCCTCAGAGAAGGTCAGCTATATCACATCAGCCACGACCCACCATCATCTTCTTCCAAAAACCAGAGTCGATACTGATTACCGTGTGTGTGTGTGTGTGTGTGTGTGTGTGTGTGTGTGTAGCCAAGTCATGCAGTTCAGGGGAGCTGTGCTGTACAATGAGCCTGGACCAGCCATTAACAGAAAGGAGGACCCGCTTCCTGCCTGCAACCCCCAGCCCTGACAACTTACTCGACTGGAGTGAGGACATCTCACTGTAAGACAGCCAGCTATAGCCCAGAGCCCAGCCAGCCACTGGCAGTCACACACATACAACCCGATTATAGATATGAATTATTGATATTATACAACAACAATATTTCTACAATAATAGTTCAACAATGATATTGCCATCAAGTGAAAACTCTAAATAGCATGCACTCATATTGTTTGACACTGTTATGCCTACTGTGAATTTAACATACAATCTGTGATTATCTGTGATTGTGTTCTGCAGGGATCTGGCTCCAGAAACCAAAGAGCTGAGAGTCAGAATGCTGGAGAAGACCACCAAAGGGGAACGTAAGGCACCTCTCAATTAGATACTTATTATAAACGGTCATAGATTAAGGAGAAATTGCATATCAGTCTATCTATGTTATCTACTTTCGTAAAGACTATAGTCCCTCTAGACAGACGGGCTACCTCCCACAATGTACCAATGTTCCAGCATACACGTCTGTACTTAGACAACGTCAGTTTGGCATAGAGGAAAGTGCGGGAGTTGGGACATCCGGTTTTCTTCCATCACTGCCTTATCCGCTTGTTGCTCTAGGGTAAACAATCTTCCAGACACAAAATAGTAGTTAGCAAGATGGAGATCACTGAGGTTCCTTTTTAATGAGTGGCTAGTTTGCATCAACTACCTTCACTAAAACCACTGCAAATGTTTTGCCTGCAAACTTTGGTTTTGAAATCGCGACATTCTGACATGTCTGCCTACAGGTTATGGTAAGAGTTTTTCATGAGCACAATTCCTGCCCGCATTATAAGCCCAAACTTGTGCCCAAACTTGTGATTTGTTGGGAGATTTGTCTGTCTGAAGAGGACTCGCCCAATATATATATTTCTTATATTTTCAAAGTTACCAAGAGAATCCGTCATGATTCCCAGACCTAGGGCTGTTGCCCTAGGTTGGGATTTCCAATACTATAAAGACTATATTCAAACCATTTTTCAAATGTCATGTTATACTCTGTGTAAGCAAAACACAGTGATGTTGTCTCCTCTGTATTTCTATGCTTAGTCTTTCTCTTTTGGCAGAATTCTTGTCTGGCTTTGCCTGCCTACCCTTGGACCTCACCCGCAGAGCTCCTACTGGTCAGCATGTGCTGTCAGTCAGCCCAGGGCACGGCCTGGCACCCAATGCTACGGTCACCTTTGAGGTGAATGTCATGCGATAGGTGGAATGCTGTTCCATAGTGTGTAGATAATTAGCTGTCAGTGTTACAACATAGATGACATAGAAATACAATTACGGAACATTGACTTGAATGGGAACGTCACTTCCAGTAATTATATTTCTATGACTGAATCACACTGAGTGCTCTCTCTTATCATATCAATGTATTATTCAATGTATTGTGGCGCACTCCACATGATAATCCTAGAGGGTAAAACATAATACATAACAATACTTCATACACAGTCCATAACATTTATGGTAATCTTGGTCCCCCTCCAACTGTAGCTGGTGTACCTGGAGGTAGTGGACCCCCTTGGAGCTCACAACGCCACGCCCCTCCGCACCTCCATCACCCCGACCAAGAAGGTGGATGTGGACCGAACCATCATGCCAGACGGCACCATCGTCACCACCGTTACCACCATACAGTCACGACCCAGACTGGGCAAACTAGGTACAGTAGGTCTGGGTGAGTTAGCATATGGAGGGGCAGGAGAGTGGGCTGTAGCTAATGATAATGACAAATATGATATTGATTTCTTGATAATTATGTGATAGTACTGACTCTATGATAAAAGAGAATTGCAACCCTGCACGCCAATCCTTCATTTTACTATACTCTACTGCAGTGGTCACCAATCTTTTCTGAGTCATGATCACTTTCTGAGTCAAAATGCAAGCTGAGATCTACCGCTCAGAATGTAAGCCTATGCAACATTTATTTAACCTTTATTTAACAAGGCAAGTCGGTTAAGAACAAATTCTTATTTACAATGACGACCTACCCCGGCCAAACCCTCCCCTAACCCGGACGACACTGGGCCAATTGTGCGCCGCCCTATGGGACTCCCAATCACGGCCGGATGTGATACAGCCCGGGACTGAACCAGGGTCTGTAGTGCGCTGAGATGCAGTGCCTTAGACCCCTGCCTTAACATTAACCTCTAAACATATGGAATTGTTTTAAGATGGTCATACCATGGATTATTTTTAATTTTAGGGCCCCTTTAGGTATCCCCAAACAATATTTTAATGTTTTGAAGTGTCTGTTCTATGTCTAGGAGATATAAATATTTGTGTTTTTTTGGACACATATATAACGCCTTATTTTTGTTGGCACAAAACTACCTCCATACTTCCATTTGTTTGTATGGGTTACCTTCAGACAATTCCCATGACAAATGGATCATCTTATTCGTGAGAGTCTCCCCTTTCCATAGAGTGGTCATTATAGTTTTGTAGGCCAAACCGTTCGAAAGCTACAGATGTTTTCGTGAGAAGACCAATTTTCGGGATGTCTCATAGCTGTACCTCAGCCACCTTCCACCGCAGATGAGGAAGGCCGACATAGGCAGATGTGGTGGATTGAGACGCAGCCCATGCATATTTTTTGTATTTATTATGGAGCCCCATTAGCTGCTGCCAAGGCAGCAGCTACTCTTCCTGGGGTCCAGCAAAATTAAGGCAGTTCATACCATTTTAAAAACATTACAATACATTCACAGATTTCACAACACACTGTGTGCCCTCAGGCCCCTACTCCACCACTACCACATACAGTTGAAGTCGGAAGTTTACATACACTTAGGTTGGAGTCATTAAAACTCGTTTTTCAACCACCACAAATGTCTTGTTAACAAACTATAGTTTTGGCAAGTTGGTTAGGACATCTACTTTGTGCATGACACAATTAATTTTTTCAACAATTGTTTACAGACAGATTATTTCACTTATAATTCACTGTATCACAATTCCAGTGGGTCAGAGGTTTACATACACTAAGTTGACTGTGCCTTTAAACAGCTTGGAAAATTCCAGAAAATGATGTCATGGCTTTAGAAGCTTCTGATAGGCTAATTGACATCATTTGAGTCCATTGGTGGTGTACCTGTGGATGTATTTCAAGGCCTACCTTCAAACTCAGTGCCTCTTTGTTTGACATCATGGGAAAATCAAAAGAAATCAGCCAAAACCTCAGAAAGAAAATTGTAAACCACTACAAGTCTGGTTCATCCTTTGGAGCAATTTCCAAATGCCTGAAGGTACCACGTTCATCTGTACAAACAATAGTACACAAGTATAAACACCATGGGACCACGCAGCTGTCATACCGCTCAGGAAGGAGACGCGTTCTGTCTCCTAGAGATGAACGTACTTTGGTGCGAAAAGTGAAAATCAATCCCAGAACAACAGCTAAGGACCTTGTGAAGATGCTGGAGGAAACAGGTACAAAAGTATATATATCCACAGTAAAACGAGTCCTATATCGACATAACCTGAAAGGCCGCTCAGAAAGGAAGAAGCCACTGCTCCTAAACCGCCATAAAAAAGCCAGACTACGGTTTTCAACTGCACATGGGGACAATGATCGTACTTTTTGGAGAAATGTCCTCTGGTCTGATGAAACAAAAATAGAACTGTTTGGCCATAATGACCATCGTTATGTTTGAAGGATAAAGGGGGTTGCTTGCAAGCCGAAGAACACCATCCCAACCGTGAAGCATGGGGGTGGCAGCATCATGCTGTGGGGGTGCTTTGCTGCAGGAGGGACTAGTTCACTTCACAAAAAGATGGCATCATGAGGAAGGAAAATTATGTGGATATATTGAAGCAGCATCTCAAGACATCAGTCAGGAAGTTAAAGCTTGGTCGCAAATGGGTCTTCCAAATGGACAATGACCCCAAGCATACTTCCAGAGTTGTGGCAAAATGGCTTAAGGACAACAAAGTAAAGGTATTGGAGTGGCCATCACAAAGCCCTGACCTCAATCCTATAGAAAATGTGGGCAGAACTGAAAAAGCGTGTGCGAGCAAGGAGGCCTACAAACCTGACTCAGTTACACCAGCTCTGTCAGACAGGAATGGGCCAAAATTCACCCAACTTATTGTGGGAAGCTTGTGGAAGGCTACCCGAAACGTTTGACCCAAGTTAAACAATTTAAAGGCAATGCTACCAAATACTAATTGAGTGTATGTAAACTTCTGACCCACTGGGAATGTGATGAAAGAAATAAAAGCTGAAATAAATCATTCTCTCTACTATTATTCTGACATTTCACATTCTTAAAATAAAGTGGTGATCCTAACTGACCTAAGACAGGGATAAATGTCAGGAATTGTGAAAAACTGAGTTTAAATGTATTTGGCTAAGGTGTATGTAAACTTCCGACTTCAACTGTATCTACATATCTCTAGCTTAAACTGACAGATTTTGATGGGGATTTTTTTATTATGCTACTTAGATGGACGCACGGGTGCGTCAATAGACTCTTAAGGATTAACCAATTAAAAACAGTTCTGTAGTAATGAGGTTTCTGCAATAGGCTATACATTATGGCTTTGCTTGAATTGGCCTGCCAATGTTGTTCTTCTCAGACAATTTTGAAATTATAGTTAAAAAACGTAGGTATATGATCACACTGGTAATAGATAATTTGTTGTATTACTTGTGAGGCACAGCTGAGTGAGCATAATATTTTATTTTTATTAATTTTTTACTGGACTGATGGTCAGTCTGAGGGGAGGGAGCAGCGGTGAGGCTGCCTCTTACCCAACTCACCGTCCATCTGCTCTCCCTCCACTGAGAAATGGGGACACAGTCTTCCAGCTCATTGCAAAACTCAAGTCGCACTGCATTATTTCTGCCTCTTGGACCAATTCATGTTGTTACTCTTATGTCCAGAGAAAGTGAAATATTCCTCGATATTGAAAAAAACACAAGCTGCTAATAATAACAACGTTATCGGAATACTTTGCTATACTCATTCATTGCAGCTGCAGTGCTGGTTGTAGTGTGAGTGGAAGTAGGGAGAACGTGCATTTTATGACTTATGAAAGTGTTGAACAAAGTGTTGACAGTGCTGAATAAACAAAATCATGAACTTACTCATAAAAACAGCAGCTCTTTGCTTGTATTCGTTGAGTTTCTCTCTAGTAATGGTTTTATTTATTTTTAAATCTCACAGTATCAACTTTGCTGTGTGTTCGAGGCTTCTTTTTAGTCTATGGCTCAAGAAAACTGTGCAGACACGGTTATCTGAGCTATCTGATTGGCCAGCGGTAGGCCTATAGGTGCACTTGATTTGCTCTCTGGGCCTGCCCGGTAGGCGGAGTTCTACCTTCAGACACATGAAATGGTTCAAAATGGGAACACTTTGCCTTCCCGGCGCTAGGGCTGCTGAATCAAGTGCACCTACCGCCAACAGCGTGAAACAAATAAATAAAAAATAGGAACGCAAGGCTTTATCATTGGGGTTTTTATAAAAATGTTTGGTGATCGACTAGGAATGCGTTGGAGATCGACCAGTTGGTGACCACTGCTCTGTTGCTTCTATTGACCCTCACATCCTCTGTCTCTGCGTTTACTCAGGCGACTCTCCCTCGCGGTCCCCGTCCAAAGTGGAGGTGACAGAGAAAGGGACCATGTTCCTCACCGATGGCTGCCATAGCAGGACCAGCTCCAGCCCTACTCTCAGCAGTGAGTTATGTTCCTCCATCGCTTCATAGCCTGGTCTCAGATCTGTTTGTGCTGTCTTGCCAACTCCTATGGTCATTGTTACAGCCATAGTCATTATTATCACAAACAGATCTGGGGCCAGGCTAATGGCTCCACACTCCTCAACACTTATTTCCACAGATATTTATTAACATTTTTTCAACATGATACGTACAGTGGGTCCACATTTAGTAGTTGCGTCACGTTATAGTGCATTACAGCGCTTGCCGTTAATGCTCGTTTGAAGCACCAGAGGGCATCTCTGAGCACATCTACTTCAGCCTGAAATAAATACTGAGGTGCGCACTAGCGGTGCGTGGGTCAGCTGTTTGTTCACCCGCCCGCAATGATCTAATAACCCATCCGCAACTGCCCAACTATATGTGATAATGTGAAAATCTGAGGCCGCACCCGACGCTAACCCGCAAATATAGAAAATGTGCTGTAGGCAACAGTTAGAGACGGCAGAAAGATGTTTTGACAGGGGGTGCAGGATTTTTTTTGTTGCCTAATTTAGATATGTTTCTGCTTATAATTTCCGTCATATTGGTAGGCTATTTATTAGTCAACAAACCCGATAATTAGATACATGCAGCTTCTCTTCTGTCATTATATGTTGCCCAAGAATACTTAATAAACCCTTAATCACCAGAATAATGTAATAAATTATCAAATGAATAATTCAATCTAGTTGACATCAGTAAAGTTTCCTCTGTCATCTCTGCTTCTTTCGTGGCACAAAGATGTTTAGGGACCGGGGAGAATGCAATAACTCAACCCCCCCAAAAATTGAACGATTTCTTGTGCAATATTTCCAAATTACATCAGTTTGACCGGTTTTAAGGAAATAGAAAGCTGTGAAAACGACCCAACATGTTTCTGATGAGATTTCAGTTTGCATATTTTATGTGGTTGAAATACTATCAGCTTTTATGATGCTGATAAAGATAGCACAGATGGTCCCTAACTGTGCATTCGCATTCTCTCAAGATGCTGAAAGAAATAAATCATATTTCTCCACTGTTTCCGAGTCAAAACGTACATTTGGTGTATTATTTTACTGCAACAAATGCTTAATTCTGCAGGAGTTAATATTAAGGATATGTGAGAGGTTATAGACCTACAGTCAGTGTCCAGATTTCAGTTTCCATTTAACCCATCTGAACATTAGGCTACAGTTCCCTTGATGTGCCATAGGCCTATTTGAAGTCCCCGTCTTGTGACTGTCTAATTTGTATAGCGCCTCACAATCATCACACATAACATAGCTGGCACTGCTGTCATCCTCTTTTACCACTTCAAATCATTCCCAAACATTACTTTTCTGGCCCTCCTTTATCTTTATTTTCAACTCTCCATGTCACAGCTTTTCTCTTCGGGACTGTTCGTTATTTATAATGAGGGATACCTGGAGAAAATCGGATCTCTCTGAAAATGAAAATGGATGGCCCTCCCTTCAGTAAAATATATTTTTACCGGATCCTCCCTGAACACTTTTTAAAAAAAACAAGTGACCCTCCCCTAAACCCAAAATAATAATTAAAACATAAAGTGGATAGCAGAGAAGATGCCTACCGTTTACCCGATAGATTTCAAGTTTCTTCAAGTGCAGTCGTAAAAAACATCAAGCGCTATGATGAAACTGGCTCTCATGAGGACCACCACAGGAATGGAAGACCCAGAGTTACCTCTGCTGCAGAGGATAATATAATTAGAGTTACCAGCCTCAGAAATTGCAGCCCAAATAAATGCTTCACAGAGTTCAAGTCACAGACACATCTCAACATCAACTGTTCAGAGGGGACTGTTTGAATCAGGCCTTCATGGTCGAATTGCTGCAAAGAAACCACTACTAAAGGACACCAATAATAAGAAGAGACCTGCTTGGGCCAAGAAACACGAGCAATGGACATTAGACCGGTGGAAATCTGTCCTTTTGGTCTGGAGTCCAAATTTGAGATTTTTGGTTCCAACCGCCGTGTCTTTGTGAGATGCGGTGTGGGTGAACTGATTTTTTTACATTTACGTCATTTTTAGCAGACGCTCTTATCCAGAGCGACTTACAGTTAGTGAGTGCATACATTTTTATTAAATTTTTCATACTGGAATCGAACCCACAACCCTGGCGTTGCAAATGCCACGCTCTACCAACTGAGCTACATCCCGGATGATCTCCACATGTGTAGTTCCCACCGTAAAGCATGGAGGAGGAGGTGTTATGGTGTGGGGATGCTTTGCTGGTGACACTGTCTGTGATTTATTTAGAATTCAAGCACACTTAACCAGCATGGCTACCACAACATTCTGCAGCGATATGCCATCCCATCTGGTTTGGGCTTTGTGGGACTATCATTTATTTTTCAACAGGACAATGACCCAACACACCTCCAGGCTGTGTAAGGGCTATTTGACCAAGAAGGAGAGTGATGGAGTGCTGCATCAGATGACCTGGCCTCCACAATCCCCCAACCTCAACCCAATTGAGATGGTTTGGGATGAGTCGGACGGCAGAGTGAAGGAAAAGCAGCCAACGAGTGCTCAGCATATGTGGGAACTCCTTCAAGACTGTTGGAAAAGCATTCCAGGTGAAGCTCCCGTTGTGCGGTTTACAACAAACACGTGACTGGCTGCTGTTCTGGGGAACTATGGTAAGCTTCATCTTAAAAAGTATCTACAAATATTGACCAATGTCCATCACCACTACTGTAATCCCAGTACTGTATTATTATTATTTTTTATCTGTTTTAAAATGCAGATGTTTATTAGGCTATTGTGTGACAAAAAAACAACAGGGCAATGATATTTTTACTGTTGCCCACATACTACTTAATTCCTTAGATAAGGGAGAGCAGGCCACGTCCAGACTTCCTCTGCGACCTCACGTACTCATTAATTTTTTCGGGTTGCATCACTCATGGAGAGAAACTTCTAAAACAGTATTCCCGATGAACACTCTGAGCCATATTTTCCTCTGGATCTATCCCAGTTGGTATTCTGAGGCCACTCATGGTATCTTTCTTCAGTTACACATTCTTGGAATAGCATAACGGTAAGGACGGCCCTTGCTGTGCTTGGTCAGCAGTTCGTCAAGTTCTGGTGTCAGAAGAGGAATGGAAATATCAGGGTGAACCGACGATCTGACAAACCAGCCATGGTAGTTGCCTCTGCCTGTTGGAGGTGGAGTTCTAGCACAGGTGTGCCTGGCATGGATTGTGACTCCATCTCGTCCCTCGCCCTCTTCAGCGAGTCATTCTCCACCTAACTCTCCACCAATACAGCCTTGCGTTCAGTCAATGCCGCCTGGCTCTGGACCAATGCATCAGCTGTCGCCCGTATCTCTGCCCTCATAGAATGTTTCTCTTTCTGCTGGTCTCCCTTTAATGACTCGATCTCGGGTCTTCAAAGTTTGAATCTGCTCCATGTGCAACTTCATCAGATGAGCGGAATGATACTGCCCAGAGCCCAGAATGAAATTACAGTACACAACAAGAGAATACACATTTCATGTTCTGTAAAAAAATAAAAAAAATATAAAAAATATATATATATATATATATATATATATATATATAATAGGTAGCGTTATATAATATATTATATTAGCCTACATGGCCTTCACAAAAACATAATTTTTCTTACCAAGCCTTTCCACTCAAGTTTCTTCAACTGTCTTCTCACTGTGATTAAAGCGATGTTGACGTTGTGCCATGATGCCAGTAGATTCCTGATCACCTTCACTGATCGCTCATCATCTTCATCCATCAGTGAGTAGAGGGCTTGAATAGTCTTGCTGCAAAAGCAATATAGAAATGTGCAGCATACAGTAAAGATAGCAGTAGATTTCTTTAAACATATTTCTTTGCATTATTAGGCCTACTGTACCCTACTGTACCTGTTCATCAAATCAAATCAAAATGTATTCGTCACATGCTTTGTAAACTACAGGTGTAGACTAATAGTGAAATGCTTACTTACGGGCCCTTCCCAACAATGCAGAGCGAGAGATTATAGAGAAATAATAAAAGTAATATATAAATACACAATGAGTAACGATAACTTAGCTATATACATTTTACATTTGAGTCATTTAGCAGACGCTCTTATCCAGAGCGACTTACAGTTAGTGAGTGCATACATTTTCATACTGGCCCCCCGTGAGAATCGAACCCACAACCCTGGCGTTGCAAGCGCCATGCTCTACCAACTGAGCTACACGGAGGGACGTGTACACAGGGTACCAGTACCGAGTCAATGTGCAGGGGTACGAGGTATTTGAGATGGATATGTACAGATAACTAGGAATAAAGTGACTAGGCAACAGGATAGATAATAAACACTAGCTGTATGTGATGAGTCAAACAAAGTTTGTGCAAAAAGGGTCAATGCAGATTGTTAAATAGTTAGTCCCGGTAGCTATTTGGTTAACTATTTAGCAGTCTTATGGCTTGGGGGTAGAAGCTGTTCAGGGTCCTGTTGCTTCCAGATTTGGTGCATTGGTACCGCTTGCCGTGCAGTAGTAGAGAGAACAGTCTATGAGTAGGGTGGCTGGAGTCTTTGACAATTTTAGGGCCTTCCTCTGACACCGCCTGGTATAGAGGTCCTGGATGGCAGAGAGCTCGGCCCCAGTGATATACTGGGCCGTACGCACTGCCCTCTGTAGCGAATTGCGGTCGGATGCCAATCAGTTGCCATACCAAGTGGTGATGCAGCCAGTCAAGATGCTCGCAATGGTGCAGCTGTAAAGCTATTTGAGGATCTGAGGGCCTATTCCAAATCTTTTCAGCCTCCTGAGGGGGGAAGAGGCGTTGTCGTGCCCTCTTTACGACCATGTTGGTGTGTTTGGACCATGATAGATCCTTAGAGATGTGGACACCGAGGAACTTGAAGCTCGCGACCCGCTCCACTACAGCCGTGTTGATGTGAATGGGGGCGTGCTTGTCCCTCCATTTCCTGTTGTCCACGATTAGGTCCTTTGTCTTGCTGACGTTGAGAGAGAGGTTGTTGTCCTGGCACCACCCTATAGGCTGTCTCATCATTGTCTGTGATCAGCCTACCACCGTTGGATGTGTTGTTGCCTACCCTCACCACCTGGGTGGTGGCCCGTCAGGAAGTCAAGGATCCAGTTGCAGAGGGAGGTGTTTAGTCCCAGGGTCCTTAGCGTAGTGATGAGCTTGGAGGGCACTATGGTGTTGAACTCTGAGCTATATTCAATGAACAGAATTTTAACATAGGTGTTCCTCTTGTCCATGTGGGAGAGGGCAGTGTGGAGTGCAATAGAGATTACGTAATCTGCGGATCTCTTGGGGCGGTATGCGAATTGGTGTGGGTCAAGGGTGTCTGGGATAATAGTGTTGATGTGAGCCATGATCAGCCTTTTAAAAATAATTTCACGGCTACAGATGTGAGGGCTACGGGGTGATAGTCATTTAGGCAGGTTACCTTAGCATTCTTGGGCACAGGGACTATGGTGGTCTGCTTGAAACATGTATGTATTACAGACTGGGTCAGTAGATTTTCCTGGGCTTTCCCGTTTGGCGTAACACAGGCATCTGACGATAGTGTTTTCGAATAGCACTGTCTGTGACCGTAATCCCCAAGTCTAACAGTATTTTTTAAATGTCTCCAGTAGATTTTCCGTTCCTCCTGAATGCCCTAATCTGCTCAATTAAAGAGATCCTGGTCATGGTGCTAAGTGCTACAGTATAATCAAAGTGAGGACAGTGGGAGTGCTGTATACTTATGGCCTATTGTAACCTGGAGTCACACCTTTCCAGTCCTCCTCACCCTGCCCAAAACACAGAATGGACATAGTTTTCAGCAAACCAGCTTCTTTCTACATTGCTACCCATTCCAGGGTTAGGACTCTAACCACCAGAGGACTTGAAAATGAACCAGAACCTTGTAACGCCAGGGTAGTGGGTTCGATCCCCAGGACCACCCATACGTAAAAATGTATGCACACATGATTGTAAGTCGCTTTGGATAAAAGCGTCTGCTAAATGGCATATTATATTATTTGGGTTTCGGTGCATTTTCAACAAAGAAATACATACACCATCAATGGGTAGGCCTACTGTGTAATAAAATCGACTGTAGGCCTACAGTATATCTAAGTGTTTTTTTGTTTTTTTTACTTTAGGTCTCCTGATTTGAACCTAATAGAACTTGTTTGGCATAAAATATATATAAATAATAATAATACTAATACATCCGTACAGCTGCCAAACTTACAAGCTAAGATGGACTTGTGAAGGCCATCAAGACATTTTGGCTCGAGAAACTGACGATGCAGTCGTAACAAATACATTGATCATCTCAGCAAAGTTTCACCCGTGGTCGTGGAGCTGGGGGGAAATGCAACTAAAATGTAGGACTGTGGGACAATGTACATACAGTACTGTAAATTACTCCGATTTTTGATATTCAGCTGATAAATAAACAGCTTGAACAGCAATGAAGGTCTACAGTGTAGCCTCAACAGCACTCTGTAGGGTAGCACCATGGTGTAGCCGGAGGACAGCTAGTTTAAATAAACATCTGCATTTTGAAACAGAATATTTTGTATAATTATTTTATTAAAGGCCCAGTGACATCACCAGGCGGTAAATTAGTTGAGAGACCAATAAGAAAGAGAGTTCCCAACCTCTCTGCCAATAACAATAACAGCTAGTTTTCAGTTTCCCCCTCCCCAAAGACCACTCTCAGACAGTCCTAGCAAAATTATTGCTTGAGAAATTGCTCTTTGCTAAGATGATGATGAAAAAATACTGTAGATGCTTCTATCTATTTGATATATATAAATCATGACCTATTATACGTTTTATTTGCTTAATTTCAACTCATAAGATCTCAAGTGGCCGCTCTAACAATGAAAATAAATGTCTTCAAAAATGGAAGGTAGTTAGCCTGGGTACCAGTCCAGGGCTTGACATCCAGGTACATTTGCCAGTGACGCACTGGGACACGGCCAGTACCAAGTGAAAACTACTGTCCCGATTGAGAAAATGACTGGCCCGGGCCAAGATCACAGGAAAGCAAGTTATGCACACAGAATATATATCGTGGGTGATTTCATGGTTCATTTGCAGTCTGGGCAAGAACCTTATATTATAACCAACCATAAGATCAGATATTTATACTGATTGTTCAGAAAACTAAAAATAAAACCATCTCCCCTCTCAATGATAACATATAGCCTATTTTAAACTGTTTCAAATGTAATATTCCCCTCCAGAAATTAGCCCAGTAACATATTGCTTTTTTTATTGTCATGCCAGACACTCAAGATTGTAAAACGCTGCCAGTTGCGCAATAATTGTAGTTGAGAAATAAATAATACAGAATTGAAAAGATGGGATCCAGCTCTTTTCAATAATTGCCATCAACACTGATGTATTTTCCCGAGATTGCATTTAGGAATGTTGCGCAATGACTGGGCTTATTAGAGGCACGGCTCGATGAGGGGGCTAAACGGGGCTTAGCCCCCTCAGCATAGCTGCGGGAAGTAGGGGTGCTGAGGAAGCTGCAGGGTGCTGATATTTTATTTACAAGGCCTACTACTGTGAAGCAACACAGTCATAGACGCATGCATACAAACACACGATAACATACACACTATACACACACATACACATGGATTTTGTGTTATAGATATGTGGTAGTAGAGTAGAGGCCTGAGGGGGCACACTTAATATAATATAATAATAATTATAATAAATGGTCATTTAGCAGACGCTCTTATCCAGAGCGACTTACAGGAGCAATTAGGGTTAAGAGCCTTGCTCAAGGGCACATCGACAGATTTTTCACCTAGTCGGCTCGGGGATTAGAACCAGCGACCTTTCGGTTACTGGCACAACGCTCTTAACCACTAAGCTACCTGCCGCCCTCTAATATGTTATGAAATCTGTTATGAATGTATTGTAATGTTTTTAAAATGTATAACTGCCTTAATTGTGCTGGACACCAGGAAGAGTAGGGGATCCATAATAAATACAAATACTTGGTACCGCTGTTTTGTTCTGTTTGCAGTTGTGTTGGTATTCTAAGCCTAACTGCTATTCAGTATTTTTGTTTGACTGCATGAATAACTAGGCTACTACTTTCAGCATTTAGTTTGCATTCTTTTGGTAAGACAGCTGTGTGTACGGCTGCATTCACATAGGCTTTGTAATAGGTGAATTGACCTATCTTTTAGCTTATATTCACCACCAAAACGGCCTAGCTGTAGGGTACTATCCATTGTGCTGATACAGCGCAGCAGAGATCAAAAGCACTCAATGATCTCGGAGTCTCTGCATTTAAATTGTGTTTATTGTAGTATAGCGTGATTATATAAGCAGAATTCAATATAATTCCAATGCAAGAACCCCAAAAAATGTAGACCCCTCGCCCCCTTAGTCACTTTATCCTGGTGCCGGGTCTGCTTATTAGATCATATTTCTTTCTGCGCAGCAATCAGCTGTGTGAGGAGTTGTGTGCTCTTGCCACCTGACAGTTGATATTCAGCTGATAAATAAACAGCTTTTGGATCTAATCTGTTTTTTTTTCTGCTGAGACTGGTCTGGTGCGAGTATCCAGGACGTGGCCTACTGAGGCGGGGCTCACTCGAGACGGAGAGGGAATGCTGGTTGATAACAAGTGTGAAGCGTCAGACGCAGTGGAGGCTCCTCAGAGGAGGAAGGGGAGGACCATTCTCTTCAGTGAATTTCAGAAAAATCTGAACAGTGAAACATTAAAAAAGTTATAATTTTTTAGATAAAACTATACCAAATATATTCACGTCACCAAATAATTGATTAAAACACACTTTTTTGCAATGAAGGTCTACAGTGTAGCCTCAACAGCACTCTGTAGGGTAGCACCATGGTGTAGCCGGAGGACAGCTAGTTTCCGTCCTCCTCTGGGTACATTGACTTCAATACAAAATCTAGGAGGCTCATGGTTCTCACCCCCTTCCATAGACTTACACAGTAATTGTGACAACTTCCGTAGGATGTCCTCCAACCTTTCAGAGCTCTTGCAACATGAACTGACATGTTGTCCACCCAATCAAAGGATCAGAGAATTAATCTAGGACTGAAGCATAAGCTACAGCTAGCTAGCACTGCAGTGCATAAAATGTGGTGAGTAGTTGACTCAAAGAGAGAGAAAGACAATAGTTGAACCGTTTTTAACAAATTAATTTCTTTAAAAATTAAGGAGAAGCAAGAAAGAGAGGAGAGAGAGCTATATTTAGTTGTCATTTTTTCACTTTCAGCTAGCTAGTTTAGCCTACTCAAACAGAGAGGGATGCTATGTTAGCTAGTTAGCTGGCTATGGCTATCCAACACTGGAACTCTTCCAAATCAAGGTAAGCTTTTGGTTTTATTAATTTATTGCCAGTGCTTGCTGCTGACTGTACTGCATAATTGTAGCGGGTTTACTAATGCATTACTTCTAGTAGCCACTGTGCCTCCCGAGTGGCGCAGTGGTCTAAGGCACTGCATCGCTGTGCCACTAGAGATCCTGGTTCAAATCCAGGCTCGGTCGTAGCCGGCCGCGACTGGGAGACCCATTAGGTGGCGCACAATTGGCCCAGGGTAGGGGAGGGAATGGCCGGCAGGGATGTAGCTCAGTTGGTAGAGCATGGCGTTTGCAACGCCAGGGTTGTGGGTTCGATTCCCACGGGGGGCCAGTATGAAAAATAAAATAACAAATAATGTATGCACTCACTAACTGTAAGTCGCTCTGGATAAGAGTGTCTGCTAAATGACTAAAATGTAGCTATGTTGACTATGACGTTAATATGGTGAAATAAAGTAATGCTCATAAAAAACTGGTCAGACATCGGGAAGATTGTCAAGGATTTAATACAAATATGTATGTTTTTTCTTTCTGTTTTGGAGTTTGAAAATGTACTGGGCCAAGCAGGCCATATGAAAGCTTGATTAACTGGCCCAGTAAGCTTGGTAGATGTTACTGGGCAAGCGGGAAGCCCTGAATGTCATGTGTCAAAGGATTTTTCACACATAGGCCAGGCTAATGCGGCTAAATGATTACCCTTATTTATCCTTTGTCACACAAATGTGGAGTGTGAAAAACAATAATACTGTTTGGGTTTGCCTGGCTGAGTGGATGAGCTGATTTCTCACACCTCACCCCCGTTAGGCTACTTGCAATTCGCGCCAACCCTTTCATCATGTGACTGGAGTGGAAACAAAGGCAAGATGGCTTGAACCTGAAGCAATACATTGTGCAGAGTGTGCAGTTCTACCTTTCTTCTGCTACACTCAGCATCTTCAAGATGGTCAGGGATAAAGTGAACAAACTCTTAAGAAATCAACGGCAAATTTAGCTTTATGCTGCAAAATAGCCTACTAAATAGGCCAAGCCTAATCAAATAAATTACACTGAACAAAAATATAAAACAACAATTTCAAAGATTTTACTGAGTTACAGTTAATAAGGAAATCAGTCAATTTAAATAAATAAATTAGGCCCTAATCTATGGATTTCACATGACTGGGAATACAGATATGCATCTGTTGGTCACAGATACCTTTTTTTTAAAGTAGGGGCGTGGATCAGAAAACAAGTCAATATCTGGTGTGACCAACATTTGCCTCATGCAGCGCAACACATCTCCTTCGCATAGAGTTGATCAGGATGTTGATTGTGGCCTGTGGAATGTTGTCCCACTCCTCTTCAATGGCTGTGTGAAGTTGCTGGATATTAGCGGGAACTGGAACACGCTGTCGTACATGTTGATCCAGAGCATCCCAAACATGCTCAATGGTTGTAATGTCTGGTGAGTATTCAGGCCATGGAAGAATTGGGACATTTTCAGCATCCAGGAATTGTGTACAAATCCTTGAGACATGGGGCCGTGCATTATCATACTGAAATATGAGGCCATCGAAGGTGAGCATTTGCCCGCTGAAGTCGATTACGACGCAAAACTGCAGTCAGCTCTAGACCATGGTGAGGATGACGAGCACGCTGATGAGCTTCCCTGAGATGGTTTCTGACAGTTTTGCAGAACTTCATCAGTTGTGCAAACCCACAGTTTCATCAGCTGTCCGGGTGGCTGGTCTCAGACGATCCCGCAGGTGAAGAAGCCGTATGTGGAGGTCCTGGGCTGGCGTGGTTACACGTGGTCAGCGGTTGTGAGGCCGAGTGGACGTACTGCCAAATTCTCTAAAATGGCGTTGGAGGCGGCTTATGGTAGAGCAATTAACATTAAATTCTCTGGTAACAGCTGTGGTGGACATTCCTGCACTCTCCCTCAAACCTTGAGACATCTATGGCATTGTGTTGTGTGACAAAACTGCACATTTTAGAGTGACCTTTTATTGTCCCCATCACAAGGTGCACCTGTGTAATGCTGTTTAATCAGCTTCTTGATATGCCACACCTGTCAGGTGGATGGATTATCTTGGCAAAGTAGAAATGCTCACTAACAGGGATGTAAACAAATTTGTTCATAAAAATAGAGAGAAATAAGCTTTTTGTGCGTATGGAAAATGTCTGGGATCTTCTTATTTGAGCTCATTAAAAACATGTGACCAACACTTTACATGTTGTGTTTATATTTTTGTTCAGTGTAATAGCCTAAATAAACTAGTAAATGAGGCCCATACAGACGACTTGCCTGTCAGTTTTTCCTCCCTGTACTCTTTCATTCAGTTTCTTCTTCACATCAGCAAAGAATGACTCTAGTGTTTCAGAAACTCACTTTATATAAACTAGGGGCTATCACTCTTTCCACACTGTGGTAAATAAAGCCAGTTTGTTATTTTAAAATTATTTCTGTTTTTCTTTTGTCTACTGCCCACATCTTATCGTCACAATAGAAACTTTCTCCATTAAAAAAAATATTATTATTCGTGCTTATTAATTTAACATGTTAAATCTGACTGCACTATTTAATTTGTTTGTTTGTTTAGAAGAGAGAGGAGCGAAACCAAAAGCAAATCAGCATTCTAACTCCCCCTTGCGATGGTGTGGCGCAATGACGCAGTCTACCACGATCTGCCACAGTCTACCACAAATGTGCCACGGTATAACCTCAACTTTTAATTGAGGAACCACTGTATATGACTACTGTTTTGTGACTGTGTTTGTGACTGTTTGTGTCTAGCTGACAGTCCCCTTTCCAATGGGCTGGACCCGGTGGCTGACACGGCCATAAGACAGCTGACAGAGAACGCCAGCAAGGTGTCCAAGAAGACTCCCACTAAACGGAGCACCCTCATCATCTCTGGCGTGTCAAAGGTAAGAACCTAACAGTGGTGTCCAAACCATAGAATTAGAATCTAGAGCAGCTAGCTGTTCTCTGCCAATCTCACAACACACTGCGCTGAAGGGTTTGGTGCTGGAGTAGCTAGGAATAAATATATTGTGTACATACTGTATATACATATTGTTACATTTAGGTTTTGTAATCATGTAGGACATTAGTTTCATTAGGCTCAAATAGAAGTACTGTAATTTGGGCCTCAGTGTCTGTCTCCTGTGTGTGAATTGAAATGAATTGAATACCTCAGGTCCCAATCTCGGAGGACGACTATGGCCTGTCTTGTGGCTACGCTGCAGCCATGGATGCTGCCCTGCAGGGAGGGGGAGCCTCCAACCACTATGGGGCGGGGCAACATCAGGAAGCAGACGAGACCACGCCCTCGGATGTGTCTGAGCGGCCGTCTGTCGATGACGTGGAGTCAGAAACGGGCTCCACTGGGGCCATGGAGACACGCAGCCTCAAAGACCATAAAGGTACAGACAGCCAGAGCCCTGCTTTAGACCAATTCTACTCCATCTATCTCTATGGAGAGATACTCTGGCTGTCCCGAGTACTTCTCTCTGGAAATGTATAGCATTTTATAGAATCAAGAAAATACGATAAGAGGAAATTGTGTTGTGGTTTGCATCATCTTATGAGGATAATTGCATATGGATGTAAATTAATATGTAAATGTTTTGATATAAATTGACGGTATTGATGTAAACTGCAATATCGATATTGTATTTTCCAAATCACCATAATACACCATGACGTAACTCCTGTCTCAATTACTCTCTTCTAGTGGGCTTCCTCCGCAGCGGAACCAAGCTACTATTCCGTACAAGACACCGAAAAAAGGACCCAACCTTCAGCCAATCCCACGAGGACCTCTCCAACCTGACCAGTGTCTCTCCCTCCTCTGCCTCTGGCCCCATCGTGCGTAAGAAGTCCGGCAGCTTCTCCCGACGACTCATCAAACGCTTCTCCTTCAAGTCGAAGTCGAAGGACAAAGCCAGTGCCACCAATGGAGGGGCGAGCACAGCAGACAACTGACAGACGACTGAATGGTGTAGCGTATGGCTAAGCGCATTGCTACTGCCTTGCTGAGACCTAGAAGTAGGCTACTGTTGCCCTGGACCCAGAAATCGCCCTGGCTTTTCTGGGTCAATGGTATTGGGTTGGGTAGGATCGTAGGACTGCTTGAAATGGTTGGAGGATGGTTAGTATTGGTCATCATGCCCCACACTTTCTTCCTCTGTGTTCACCATCAGATGAGGAACCAAAATTTGACAATTTCATCCAGTTTTTGCAGGCAGTACACGTACACCCCAGGTTGGTGGTCACCTTTCCTGCATTCCTGGATTCCTCTGAGAGGACTCCTTTTCCTCTGGATGAGAAACACACACGCCAGGGACGGATGGATGGATCCAGGGACTGTTTGCTTATTATCAAAGCCATTTATTTTCAGAAGTAGCCCATGCTGCTCTGGTGGATTTAAAGGGAGATAATGAAAGTAGGAATAAACTTGAAGTTGTTGGAATTCAACGCTAAAGGGGCAGTAGGTAGTGTGAGTGTGGCCTCCTCCAAATCAATTTATTTAAAAATATGATTTTTTTGGTTGCACTTTATCTGATTGTTTACAGCACTTGAAAGCTTATTCTGGTGTTAATTTTATTGGTATTTGTATTGTTTGCTCTCTGATTCACATGATTATCCTTCTGTCTCCCCAAAAAATATTAGTCATTGTTAGTAGTTTGCATTATGTAGGCCTAGTAGAGACATTACTTTGTTAGCTTTCTTTCCTGCTTAGTTGTAAAGGTAATCTTAAATAACAAACTTAGTTGAAGAACAAATATCAACCCCTCGCCTTGGTCTTAAATTGGTGGTAATGTTGACTTTCATAGTGGCTTATGCATTATGTTTTAACAATGTTGTTCATAATTGTAAGTTGTACAAAAACCAATGTCTGTGTTTTTATTTTGTTTTTCAGAAAGGGAAATCTTAAAAGGCAAACTGTTATAAAAAAAGGCAAACTATTTTAAATGATCAGCTCAGACCCTTTTTAATTTGTATCTACTAGGCAAGTTGAAATACCTCACTCGCCTGAGTACTACACATCCTCTGGGTCAGAATTATTGATGGAGGATATGCCATACATATATTTAATAGTTTAATGGTAGCTGATGTACAGATTGAGTCCTCTTAATATTAATATCAAGGAATTATTATGGTTGAGGTAATACAAAATCCGAATTTCACATAAGATGGTTATTATGACTTTCCCCCCTGTAATGCAAGATTGTTGCTCCTTAATTCAAGTTGAGCTTTTAAGATGTCACAGTCCTCCAGAACATGCGTTGTCACGCACAGAACATAGGGTAATCAAAAGTGTAAAGATGTACATAAAAGTCATTATCTTGTACAGTATTGGCATATGTGTTTTGTAAGATAATTATTTTGCCATCCTCTCAGAATTTGTATTGTGTAACCCTAAAGTATATTTGATGTTATAGTAAGGAAATGTGGTTCAGTAGTAGTAGACAAGGAATTATTGTTACTTCTGCCCCACCTCTACTCTTTCAGACAGACTCCCATAATCGTCATCACATAGTACTGTTCGCCAAGTTTAGTCACACACATAATTAAGTTTTCTTTATGAAATGGTCACTTAGGTAACATTACTTTTTGTTGGTTGAAATCCATAAACAATACTACTTGAAGTTACATCTTATCTGAAAACAATGTATAACAGCATACAGTGCCTTCAGAAAGTATTCACGCCCCTACAAATTGGGATTAAAATTGATTTAATTGTTTTATTTTTTCCAACAATCTAAACAAATTACTCTGTCAAAGTGGGAAAAAAAATCTAAAATGTTCAAATATTAATGAAAAATAAAACGCTAATATATATTGATTAGATAAGTATTCAACCCCCTGAGTCAATACATGTTAGAATCACCTTTGGCAGCGATTACAGCTGTGAGTCTTTTAGGTTAAGTCTCTTAAGAGCTTCGCACACCTGGATTGTACAATATTTGCCCATCTATTCTTTTTTAAACTCTTCAAGCTCTGTCAAGTTGGTTGTTGATCATTGCTAGACAGCCATTTTCAAGTCTTGCCATAGATTTTCAAGCCATTTTACAGTAAATCAAAACTGTAACTAGGCCACTCAGGAACATTCAATGTCGTCTTGTTAAGCAACTCCAGTGTATATTTGGCCTTCAGTTTTAGGTTATTGTCCTGCTGAAAGGTGAATTTGTCTCCCAGTGTCTGTTGGAAAGCAGACTGAACCAGGTTTTCCTCTAGGATTTTGCCTGTGCTTAGCTTGTAAAAAATAAAATAAAATCCGTAGTCCTTGCCGATGACGAGCATATCCATAACATGATGCAGCCACCACCATGCTTGAAAATATGAAGAGTGGTACTCAGTGATGTGTTGTGTTTGATTTACCCCAAACATAATGCTTTGTATTCAGGACAAAAAGTTAACTTCTTTGCCACATTTTGTTGGAGTATTACTTTAGTGCCTTATTGCAAACAGGATGCAGGTTTTGGAATATTTTTATTCTGTACAGACTTCCTTCTTTTCACTCTGTCATTTCGGTTAGTATTGTGGAGTAACTACAACGTTGTTGATCCATCCTCAGTTTTCTCCTATCACAGCCATTAAACTCTGTAACTGTTTTAAAATCACGATTTGCCTCATGGTGAAATCCCTGAGCGGTTTCCTTCCTCTCCAGCAACTGAGTTAAAAAGGACGCCTGTATCTTTGTAGTGACTGGATGTATTGATACACCATCCAAAGCGTAATTAATAACTTCACCATGCTTAAAGGGATATTCAGCGTCTGCTTTTTTTATTTGTACCCATCTACCAATAGGTGCCCTTCGTGTGAGGCATTGGAAAACCTCCCTGGTCTTTGTGGTTGAATCTGTGCTTGAAATTTACTACTCGACTGAGGGACCTTACAGATAATTCTGTGTGTGGGGTAAATTTTTACTCCTGAACGTATTTAGGCTTGCCATAACAAAGGGGTTGAATACTTATTGACTCAAGACATTTCAGCTTTAGATATATATTTTTTGTAAACATTTCTAAAAACAAAATTCCACTTTGACATTGTAGGGTATTGTGTGTAGGTCAGTGTCACACAATCTCAATATAATCCATTTTAAATTGAGGCTGTAACACAATAGAATTTGGAAAACGTCAAGGGGTGTGAATACTTTCTGAAGGAACTGTATGTTTTTTAGGGGTTCAAGCAATTTGGTGAAAAAATTCAAATTCCCATGAGATGGTAAGCCATAGGGGTGCAACATTGCATGACGTTAAAGGGCCATGGGCCACAACTTCTCATGCGATGCCATGCCAATTGCCCACATGGTGGCGCTATAATAAACAATTGAAACTTTGAACGCTCACGCCCCTCACCCCGTGTGACGTAGCGTTGTAAAATTCGGTACATAGGTCCCTCTCCTCACAAGGAACAAATTTGCGTTAAGGACCCATAACAAAGATTTTTATAACTAACCCAAGCTAGACCACAGCCTGTCGTTTCCAATGGGAACAAATTAGTCATAGTGGGCAGAACCAGCAAGAAGGGGGGCAGAGCCAAGCACAAGTTAGCGAGATCCTATTGGCAGCTTCTAGCATGTATTCACATTTTTTGGTTAGGGAATGCCTATTCTGTGAAGTGTGCGAGTGCAATAATTTAATTTGCCCTTGCACTCCTTCTAAACAATTTTTTACTAACTTTGACAAAGGGTAAAATCTACAAACTTTGTCCACTCTGTTCGTAACAGAAAACTGTATTAAGGTCAAATGTTTCATTTATGAGAAAATTTGCATGTCTGCCAAAATCCATCTCCATTGCTGGCCACTGGGCTTCCTCTCATCACCATATTTGGTAGTGAGTAGAAACGCCAGTCGGATGCTTCACACTTATACATTCGGTTAAATATTTTCTGCCATTTAGAATTTATAAAAAAACACTTAAAATGCTACTTAGAATGACCGATCTGCACGAAACTTGAATATGGCATCTATGGACCAAGATTTCTCAACGTAACATTTTACAGACTAGTATGTTAAACAACATGGCCGCTACTGACCAATAAACATACAGGTGGGTGTGGTAAGGCACATAAATGCATGTAAATCAGACACTGTTATTCATATCGTAAAAACACTTAGTACACATGTTCCAAACATTGTCAAGACTCAACATATGCAAGCACATTCCGATCGACCGCATGGTGGCGCTATAATGGGCACGTTTATATCTCTTGACCAATTTGTCCTGATGGTGGCACAATGGGCCCACAGCTTGATCGCCGCATTGCTGCTTGCAGCTATATGTTTTTTGGAGATTTTCCAGGCAGCCAACTTGGTCCGTCCTGTGTTGTACAGGTACAGGTTTGAATATCATGCGAAAAACAGGAAAACTATTTTACCTTTTGATTCTTAAGAGATCCTTTCTATTTGAAGTCTAAAGTATGATGTGATCATTTAAATGTTTAATTTATTTGAAATAAATTATTTTTTTAAACACACTGCTACCCATCATTTGTCACATCTCTAGTGTAGCGATGTGTCGTTTGAATGTCATACTGTATGTTGAACAATGCTGAACATTATGTTGAATTGACCTTAACCAACTTTAGGTTTCCTCCCCAAAATACTTTCTCTACCTCCAAGGCAATGGGTCGTAAAAATGGCTGCTCCCTTTTCTCAACTCTGGACCCAAAGGAGAGAGAAGTAGCTCCAGCTACAGTAGGCCGACGACAGCCCTGGACTTTGCCTTTAATGGCCTGAACTGGTAACTGATAAATTAGGGGGAAAGTACCTTTTTAGGGAATAGTACTTGTAATCCAGCACATAAATTGGGACGGAAGTGCCCACGCACTAAACAGGCTCCGAAAAAGACATAAGACTTAAAAGAGCTTGTGTAGCCTGAACGGTACACTTAAGCTAACCTTCTTCAAGGAAAGAAGGAGAAGACTATTAGAGCACAGCCTCTGCAACTCAAGCAAGGAGCCAACGGAGAA